GAGCTTCCCTCGTGTCCTCTTAATCAGCGGTCTCCACCCTTTTTTGCGCCACGGACCGGTTTATGCCCGACAATATTTTCACGGACCGGCCTTTAAGGTGTTGCGGATAAATGAGGGAGGGGCTAATAATCGGCTCAGTCATTTTTTGATGATCGTTGAAAGCCCAGATCGTAATCGTGATTAAAATTCGATTAATTGAGCAGCCCTAGTTGGGATTGTTGTTAACAACAGTGTAAATGTGTGCATTCTGCAGGTCCGTTGCACAGAACATCACATCTGGAGCTTGGAATTACACTCTGACTATCGAGGCCTACACTGATGCCGGCCGCACACAACTTGTGGAGTGGAACAATGAATTGCAGTTAAACGAGAAAATCTGGATGGTGTTGAAGACCGATGGCTTGGATGGAAGCATGGTCAGTGTGGTGACCGACTCCTGCTGGGCAACTGACAAGGCATCACCCACCAGCAGTCCAAGACATGATCTGATCATTAACGGGTGAGAGAAACTCAGAGGTGGTGGTTACTCGCTGCTGCTCAGAGATTAATTCAACTCCTTTTGATCACTATTATGGACTCCTGAACAAAGTTTATTTTCCTGCTTATGAACAGCTGTGCAAACCCTGCTGACCCGACGGTGCAGATGGAGGAAAACGGACTGGCAACCTCCACTTACTTCTCCTTCAACATGTTCCGGTTCACTGGGGGCTCTAGTGACATCTTCCTTCACTGCCAACTCCACCTGTGTCCCAAACAGGGGAACAACTGCATCCCGGTACGCAAATGTTCATAGAAAGATATACCAAATCCGGCCATCTTTTCTGATTTCATGAGACATTGCTCTGCACATAGACATTTCTCTTCAGTGTGCAAATGTTCAAGCACTGAAGCGCATTATTTACTGTTCCTTATCCATGGTGTCTTTTGCTATTGATGTCCAAATAGCTTCTAGATGTCCACAGAGAATTGGTTTGCATAAAACTTTAGCGAGCTGTCTTTGAATACATTAAATCTCAAATCTGCTCAACAGAACTGAAGTCTGACCTTTCGCTTCGCCATTTCATCAGGTCCAGAACTTCACATTCTTTTTTCTTGGTCAAATAGTGTCTGCACCGCTTTGACTTATGATTGGGGTCAATGTCTTGTTGGTATATGAACCCACGACTAATCAGCTCCGGTCCAGAAGAGACTCCATAATGCACTAAAATGTTGTGGTAGACTTTCTTGTCCATGACACCATAGATTTTTTTCCTAATTTGCCCGAGCTGTTAGATATGGGTGCAGTGCATCAAGCATTAAC